GTCAGGAGCCTAGAACTCTACCTGGGTCTCCTGTGTGGATAGTAGAGTCCCAAGCACTTGGGACACATCTGCTTTCCCAGGTGCATTGGTAGGGAGCTATAAGTAGAGCAGCTGGTCTTGAATTGGTGCACATATGGGCTGTCAATGTTTCTGGGAGTGGCAGGGTAACCCACTGAGCCACGATGCTGGCCTCCTTGTTCATCTTTTGATCAGTTCAAATGCCACACCTCTGGGAGTTGTTCTGAACATCCCCATCCACCAAGCCTCTCTGCTCTGTGGTGTCTACCAAGATGGAACCAAAGACATAGAAGACAGTACCTGCCTCCGCCCAAGCCCGAGCATAGGCCGGAAGGTCCAGAGGGCTGGGCTGAGTAGGGTCCACAGCTCCTGAGAAGAGGTCCACATGGCACCCATCACCCACCTTCTGGCCACCAGAGACACTGCAGTCCTGGTAGCACTCCGCATGTCCTCGAAAAAGCATGCCCCAGGGAGTCAAACTTAACCACTGTGATGTCATCAAGTTCACCAGATCTGCCACAAAGAAGTAGGAGACAGCAACCCTCTTGTGTTCCTTGTGGATGTCCAGGCCGGAAACCAGCTGGGAAGAAAATCTGCGAGATTGACCTAGCCAAGGTCAACAACACACTGATAGGCCTCGAGGTGGGGAAAAGGCATGTGCTCACCTGGCTCCTGCTCGTGATGCGGTGAGTGTGACCAGCAAAATTGGGAACATTTCAACTGAGTCCAGCTGGCTAATTCTAAATATATCCCCCCCACCACCACAACAAAAAAGAAGAGAAAAAAAATCACTGTCACAGGACCAAAAAAAAAAAAAGCTATAGTTCTTATTTGTGGAATTTAGGTTTCAGACAAACCCCAGCTGGTTCAGAGCAGCTGGGGGCTGGGAGTTCAGCGGTACAGGCAGAGTGGGGCGCTCAGGAGAGCTTTAAGGATCTTTCCAGCCACTTTAGTTGCAGATGGCTTTAAGGGAGGGGCTGAGGGGACCGCCTGGCAGAGAGCGATGGTCAACCAGCCAACTCAGGGGCAACGGCAGCGACACGAGCTTCATGGTGTTGATTCTGGTTCAGACGGAGAAATGGTCTTAAAATACTTCTAGGAACCTTACATTGTTCCTTCTCTGCCACAATCCTCTGTGCTTTGTTTCCTGGCTATATTTGTCTTTCCCCTGGAACGCTAAGGAGGTTTTGACTGTTGTGAATTCCCATGGAATAAAAATCCTCCAGCGAAGTTCTTGCTTGCCTTCATTGATTATGCAATTGTATTGGAAGAATATGAACTTTCAAAGTGATACTCCTAAATGACTAAGATGTCATATGATTTTATATTTTGTTTAATATCTTTGTGGAGTCATTTGTGATATAATTAATAGGAAGCAGTTCCTCAGTCTTCCTCTTAGATGCAGCTTTGAAGGGCAAAGCCAGGTTCTCCACTGGGGAACACATTTATCACATGGAGTGTAGGATACACTAAACAAGACTTGATCAGGCAAATTTCCCATTACATCTTAAAGGAGAGTTCAAGGAGGGTATCTTCCTTGTTCCTTTTCGGAATTTGCCCAAGACTCAGTAGCTGCTCCTTCCTGTGTCTGTGTGCTGAGGCAGGTGCGCAGGTTTCCTGGTACGTGTGTATTGGAAATCGTACGAGGAGCCGTTCAAGGATGGCCCAGAAGGCCAGTGATGACGCCTGCCCTCCTTCGTCTCCATTTTCTTGTGTCCGTATGAACCACTTTAATGAAGTAGAATTCCCAAACTATGTAAGTCATCAAAGTGTACAATGCAGGTGTTTTTTAGTATATTCACAGTTTGTAAGCCATTGCTGCAGCATATTCTAAAGTTTACAAAAATATTGTCATTTCAGTTTGAAATAGGGGAGGGAAGAGGCAGACAGATGGACAGGAAGATATCTTCTGATCTGTGTTCACCCTTCAACTGCCTACAACAGTCAAGGTGCAACCAGGCCAAAGCCAGGAAGTGGGAGCTCCATTTAGGTCTCCCCCGTGGGTGACAGGGAGCCAATTGCATGAGCCATCACTTGCTGCGGCCCTGGAGACACATCACCATGAAGCTGGAATGGGAAACAGAGCTGGGTCTTAAATGCAGGCACTCTACTATGGGACGTGGGCACCCTTTACCACACACACACACACACACACACACACACCTTGGATATATTTTTTAAAGATTTATTTATTTTTATTGGAAAGTCAGATTTACAGAGAGAAGGAGAGACAGAGAGGAAGATCTGCCCACTGGTTCATTCTCCAAGTGTCCGCAATGACCAGAGCTGAGCTGATCTAGAGCCAGGAGCTTCTTTTGGGTCTCCCAAGGTGTACAGGGACTCAAGGCTTTGGACTGTCTTCTACTGTTTCGCCAGCCTGCGAGTAGGGAGCTGGATCAGAAGCGGAATAGCTCAGACATGAACTGGCGCCTGTATGGGATCCCAGCGTGTGCAAGGTGACAATTTAGCCACTGAACCGTTGTGCCAGCCCCCTATATATATTTTTTTTAATCTTTGTGACTTTATACCTGTTTTATTCATCTGGTATAATCTATATGTTTTCATTAGGGAATCAATATAAGAACATGTGTTCAGTCAACTATGGTTAACTGAAAGACCAAGAACTTTTGAAATGTGCACCATTTTAATACGTAGTGATTAGCTAGCTGATTGGCTGAATCTTACAAATTATTAGAGAGGCCACCAAACACTGGCACAGTGTCCAGCCTTTATTCATGACTGATAAACTAGAGATCAGTAGCACTTAATTTTTCCCTGCATTTTGGAGATATGCATTCTCATCTTTTTAATCAACATGCTGTTTTTGATAGTGAATTGCGAATAGTTTGTGCAGTTTGAGCGTAAGGGTATTTTCAGTATCTTTGTCATTAGGGAAGGGCTCATAAGCTTCTCTCAGACCTTGGTGCATATCTGCTCCTTAAGGAGTACATTCTTAATGCTTCCAGAAAAGTATAGATTGGAGATTGGTCAAAAGTGTAACTGGCACAGGCGTCCCCTTCCCATGTGTGGTTACAGCAAGTTCTTTAGCAAATTCCCAACTAATCTTTTGAGCCCTTTTGTCTCAATCAGTGGAATCATAAACAAGGGCAGGTGTCAGATGTAATCACCATCACTAAAAGGAAAATATACACATTAGCTGAATAACATTTTCATCACAGTGGCATGAGAATTTTTTTTTTTAAATTCTAGACAGTGTGGCATTTGTTTGGAGAGAGAAAGTTTTTACTATGTCCTACGTTTGTGTAATAGTATTTGACACACCCTAGACACTCTATAAATATTTATGAATGAGTGAGTTGTGGACCGGGGCTGCAGCTGCTGCCTCCCTCTGCATGCTACCTTGTAGACAGTGACTCTATCCCGGGTCCCTAGCTAGGGCCTCCTCATAACCCAGCCTCATTTCTAGTTCATTCCATAAAATTACAATGCACTCTTTGTACATAGCTATTAACTGAAAATTTTGCTTGTATAACTGTTTTATTTTTATTATGAAAGAATCACATATCTTCCTTGTAGACAACTTGCACAACTCAGTAAAGGATGAAAAATGAAATTGACAGTGATCCAGGGATGGCCAGAATGTTCTGTGTTCCCTTGTAAAATTGTACTGACTGTACGCATCAAGGTTCAGATACAGAGAGAACACTGAAGGAAAAAAAAAGTGTCTAATCATTCTGGAAGAATCCATGTATACAACCTCTTTAACCTTGCCACCAGTCGTCCATGGTTCTCCCATGTTTGTGAACATCAGCTACTTCCTTTGAATGTCTGTCAACAAAAGAAAAGGAAAGGAAAAGAAAAGAAAGAAAGAAGGGAAGGAAGAAAGTGCAAACAAACAAAATGAATGTCTGGCCATCTCTTATGCCAGGCAAAATTTGAAGTCTGCCATTTTTTCTTGGTCCCTTCCGTAGTGTATCTGTACTGCTAGGTGGATGTCTACATATCAGCGGTCTTTTGCAAGCAGGTACCAGCATATGGGGTGTGTCCACCTGAAGCCAGACCTGAGTTGTTCTCCCTTGGTCCTCCTGGTCATCAGGAACTCTTCCAGAAGGCATGGATTCCTGTAGAAGTCATAGGTCGGGGTTAGAGGGCAGGCTCAGTAGCAGGAGTAGAGGTCTCGGAAGCCCAGGCCCCTATGCCATACCTGTGCCAGGGAGCCTGCCCAAACCAGGGAGCCTGCCCATCCTTTTGCCATGAAGAGCGGTGATGCTCATCTACCCACCTTTATGACATGGTGTGTTCATAGTGGCCTGTCCCAATGTCCCCTGCACAGTCATTATGTACTGGAACCCAGCAGTCAACAGCTGCATTGCAAAGTTGGAAATGATTGTGTTGGAATAGGGCCTGACTCTTTCAAATTCCTAGGAGCCCATTCTTTCATTCTGCTATGGGCCATCATACACAGCTCATCTGCTGCGCACACTCTGAACACGACTGGATCTACTGAGCTGCAAGACCCACGGGCAGAGACACCTTTGCCACAGCCCAGGTTGGCTGCAGTGCCATCCACCTGCACCTCGGATCCCCACTCAAAGCATCCAGCCTTACCAGTGATTTGATAAAAAGGACTAAATATTTTTAACTATGGCAAAAGCTGCTTCTTAGATCCTGGGAAGCCTCTGACTTTGAAGGGTGCAGGGTGATGCAGAGCCATAGGGCTAAACCAGCCCAGTAGATGTGCTTTTCTGGAACTGGGCTCACCATGTGCACACCATTCTTGTAGACATTGTGGAACCTTGGATTCTCTGATGGTTCATCTAATCTTAATTAAGCATCATCCCTGTGTGTTAGCTTAGACACCACAATGAGGGCAGCTGTCGGAACCCATTCCTGCCTGTTAAAAAGAACAGTGGATAGCACAGTTTCCTTGCGGGGTGCTTTGCATTTCCTGGCAAGTCAGGGAACATCTGTGCATGTCGGTAAACTTTAATGAGAAAGGGCTCTGTTCTTTGCCTGGACAGATGTGATGCCAGCATAGCCCGACTCTCTGCTGAGCACAAGTCGACCTATGAGGGGCTCCAGCACTTGAACAAAGAGCAGCAGGCTGCCAAGCATATCCTGGAAACGAAAATCAAAGACGCGGAAGGGCAGGTAGGACACGTTGCGGGTAGATTTCAAGAACAGGTAACTTGCTGTTAGCTAAGATGGCGTGCTGTTGGTCATTTCTTGAGGGAGAAGGCAGCTGGGGGTTCTGCCACCCAGAAACCCTTCTTTCTTCTGTTGTACTACAGTGGCCCTTGCCGTGTCTGATAACCAAGACACCTAGAGTTTCCCACACAGTCCTACTTGTAAAGACTGTTTCTTTTCGAGAGCAATTTAGTGTGTTCCAGAAAGTCTGAATTATATGTCCCAAACTGCCTCTGGCGTGTGTAAGTGATCCAACCTTCTGTGATGTACCACTCACGCCAACTTTTGGTTCAGGATATGGTCACTGTGTTCACTGGGGCTCACCACAAGCCAATTAAAATACATACACAAGTCCATTCTAAGCGACATACTTTCCTTTGGAGCTGACACATGTCATGTCAGAATCATTTCCTATCATCACTGTTTCAGAAAAAGCAGACTTTCCACAGAGGGTTAGTTTTGTTTATTTTAAATTTTACTAAGCAGATAAGGGAGACAGGCAATTAGAAGAAAGAAGTGGGAATGACCACATTCTATACATTTTATTTGCTAGTGACCTACTTGATGCAGAGTTAAATCTGAAACCTTAATGGATTTTTTAAAAGCTTAATTGGAAAGTGAGATATACAGAGAAAGAAAAAAAAAAAACAGAAAGAGATCTTCCCTCTACCAATCTACTTCCCAAATGCCGAAAGTTAGCAAAGTACTGGATTTGGCTGAAGCCGGCAGCCTGCATCTCCATCTGGGTCTCCCGTGTGGGTCAGAGGGACCCAGCTACCCGAGCCGTCACTGCCTGCCAGGGACCACGTTATCAGGAAGCTGGGATTGGAAGCTGAGCCAGGGCTGCATCCGAGGCACTGTGAGATGGGGTGTAGGTGACCCATTGTGTTGAATGCTTCCCTCCCCATGCCCTTTGATGGATTTTGTAAGCAGTAAAGTTTTATTTTCTCTGTCTAGCAGCCACATTCTGGGAGACATGTCCAGGTTGGGAGGACCGTGTTTTCAGGCTTAGGTAGAAGTAATGGCTGAGCAGGAACTGGGCTTACCTCTCCAAGGACCATAAAGTCAAATGATCAGTGTAGGATGGCTATTTTGACAGTGCTGTTGGCCTTGGCCTTTGAGGGATGTGTGAGCAAGAGAATGGAGTTGACAAGATGAGATTTCCACTTGAGGAAATCAGATGGAATTGAATGCCACGGGTAGCATATAGCCATCTTAATGTTTTCTAAAATTACATTAGGAGAGATCAGATACAATGCTCAACAGCAGGGTCTCTTTTTCCAGATCTCTCAGCTTTTGAACAGAGTGGATTTGTCAATATCAGAGCAAAGCACCAAACTGAAAATGTCCCACAGAGATAGCAACCACCAGCTCCAGCTCCTGGATACTAAGTAAGTAAATCAGTAATTCATTAAATGAACCCACTGTTTCTAATTTGTTACAGTTTGTTCTAGTTGATGCTCTGTGAGTTGTTTTCCTGTTGGTTTTTGTTTATTGTAAAGTGCAACCAACAATGGGAGCAGGAAGGCAAGTGTATTACCACTTGTCCATCATATTTGCCGATTTCAGAGACTGCATGGTTATTGAGTGCTGGCTAGGGGGCCTGTGGAGAAAGTTATGGAACAAAAAATGGAGTGTTCCTGGAGTTGACAGTCTATGGCTTTGATGACCATTGATCAAGCCATGAAATAAAAAAAAAAGTACCTGTGAGGGCAGGAGCTGTGGTGTAGTGTGTTAAGCTACAGCCCGATACACTGGCATTCTCTGTGAACACTGCTCCATTTCGGATCCAGCTCCCTGCTAATATGCCTGGAAGAGAAACAGAGGATAAACAGAGAACCTGGGCCCCTGCCACCCATGTGGGAGACCTGGATGGAGTTCCAGGCCCTGGCTTTGGCTTGTCCAGCCCTGCCTGTTGTCGTCTGGGGAGAAGCCCAGGGAATGTAAGATCTCTCTATATATATCTCCTCTCTTTTTTTTTTAAGATTTATTTATTTATTGGAAAGTCAGATATGCAGCGAGGAGGAGAGACAGAGAGGAAGATGATTCACTCCCCAAGTGAGCGCAACGGCCGATGCTGTGCCAATCCGAAGCCAGGATCCAGGAACCTCTTCCAGGTCTCCCACATGGGTGCAGGGTCCCAAGGCTTTGGGCCGTCCTCGATTGCTTTCCCAGGCTACAAGCAGGGAACTGAATGGGAAGTGGAGTTGCCGGGTTTAGAACTGGCACCCATATGGGATCCTGGCACATGCAAGGTGAGGACTTTCACCACTATGCTATCGCTCTGGACCCTACCTTAAACAAAAAAGATTTATTTATTTTTATTTGAAAGGCATTTTTAAAGAGAGAGAAAAAGAGTCAGAGAGAGAGACCTTCCATCCATTGGTTCACTCCCCGAAATGGCCACAATGACTGGAGCTAGACTGATCCAAAACCAGGAGCCACGAGCTTCTTCTGGATTTCCCACAGAGGCCCAAGAACATTGGCCATCTTCAACTACTTTCCCAGGCATCTTCAACTACTTTCCCAGGCAGGGAGCTGGATCATAAATGGAGCACCTGGGATTCCAAATTGAATGCTAGCACTGCGGGTGTGGTTTAACCTACTATGCCAAAGTACTGGCCCTAGCACACTGACTTTTTAATTCCATTTGTTGTAAACTTTCTGAAGTCTCCTATATTGTTATTATTAATGGTGGTGAGTGCATTTTGATGGAAAAATACTTGGCTGTAGTCAGCTGAGTCACGGTCCCCTAACCATCTCCACATCCTGATCTCTGGAATCTGTTCATGTATCATTGTATATGGCAAGGGAGACCTTGTAGGTGTGATGGAATTAAAGATTTTGTGATGCATAAGTTATTCTAGGTTTTCCAAGTAAGCTTGATGTGATTATTAGAGTCTTTCTAGAGGGAGGCAACAGGGGGCACCGTCAAGAGTGAAGGCCGTGTGAGAGCACCAGCCTCCCATGAGAGCATTGGTCCGAGTCCTGGCTGCCCCACATCTGATGCGCCTGGACAAGCAGTGGACAGTGGCCCATTGCACCCAGGTGGGAGACCTGGAAGAAGTTCCAGCCTCCTGATTTTGTAAAGCTCCTGCTGTTTTGGCCATTTGAGGGGTGAATGAGTGGATAGAAGATCTCTATCTAAGAAGTTGCGTTCCTGGTTCCTGGCTTTAGCCTGGCCCAGTCTAGGCTGCTCCAGACATTTAGGGAGTGGACCAGTAGAGGGGAGATCTCTCTTTCTCTTTAAATCTGCCTTTAAAATACATAAAACAAATGTCAAAAAAGGACACAATCTAGTCCTTACACTGATGTAGAGCTAGATTTCACTTTATCCACGTGGTCTGGAATAAAAACTCACATGGTTAATTTATCTTAGGATCATGCTGCTCTGTGGTTGCCTGATGTGCACGGGAGAGCTGATTCAGTCCTCAGTCTTCCCATCCTCCCACCGAGAACGTTCAAAGAATACACAATTAAATCTCACCGAACACACCAGGAAAAAAGCTATATAAGCACCAGTCAAAAGAAGCAGCAAATAGCAGAATCAGATGTTAAAAGTCTGCTCTAAGTGTAAGAATTATCAGATACCGGAAGTGTGCACATGTGTGCACATGTGTACCAACACAGGCTTTCAAAGGATAACTGAAAGCAAAATATAATGGAAAGCAAGAGCCATGGATGTGTGTGTGTGTGTGTGAGAGGGAGAGACAGAGAGGTGTTAAACAACAGATCATATGCAGCTGAAGAGAGGATTAGTGAATTGGGAGAGAGACCTGAAGAAGTTAGCCCAGTTTACTACAGGAGACAGTCATAGGATGGGAAAGAAAGATGTGGGTTGCAGAAGTTTCGAGAGGCACATTAATGCTCCCTGTCCAGGACCAAAAGGCATCTGCACTCTGATTTCTGGAACATGTGCTGTGTGGACTTTGCAGAGATGATTACAGTTCTAGACCTTGAGATGGGGAGTGGAGGGATAGTCAGCTGGGGCCCGTCGGGTCATGCGTGCTTCTTACAGTGGAGTTGTTCCCAGCTGAGGTCGGAGGGATGACTGAGAGGAGGGATCAGGGAGACACCTCAGTGGCCGTATGGTGGACTTCGGGGAGTACATGAAAGAGAGCTTTTGTAAGACTGGAGGGGAGAACAATGGGGAGGGGAGGGAACGTGGGGAAGAGGAGGCACTCTAGTACCTGTTAAATGGTGTCCTAAAATAAATTTAGAAAGGGGGGGAGCCCAGCGCGGTGGCCTAGCAACTAAAGTCCTTGCTTTGAATGCACCAGGATCCCATATGGGCGCCGGTTCTAATCCCAGCAGCCCCACTTCCCATCCAGCTCCCTGCCTGTGGCCTGGGAAAGCAGTCGAGGACAACCCAAAGCCTTGGGACCCGCGTGTGGGAGACCCAGAAGAGCTCCTGGCTCCTGGCTTTGGGTCGGTTCAGCTCTGGCCATTGCTGTTGCTTGGAGAGTGAATCATCAGATTGAAGATCTTCCTCTCTGTCTCTCCTCCTCTCTGTATATCTGACTTTCCAATAAAAATAAAATAAATCTTGAAATAAAAAAGAAGAGAGATTGAAAGTATAAGAAGGACTAGAGCTGTACTTGCTGGCTTTGAAACCATGAGCCAAGCCTCGCAAGGATCTCGGCCCTGCCACGGCCTGCTGGTTTTCTAGGGTTGCTTACCAAATGGGTGGCTTAGGATAACAGAAATGTAGTCTCACATGTTTGGAGACCAGAGGTCTGGTGTTAATGCCCTGAAGGAGTTTTTGTCTGACAAGCTCTGGGGGAGGTCTTTCCTGGCTTCCTCCAGCTCCTGGTGGCCCCAGGCATCTATCTCCTCTTCTCCCTGTGGTCTTGTGGTCTTGCCTAAGGACTGCCGTCATTTTATTGAGAGTTTGCCCAAATCCTCCAGCAACATGACTTCTTCTTGAGATCCTAACTATGATGGCTGCAAAGATGCTTTCCCCAAACACAATCACATTCAGATGTTCTAGAAGTGAGGATGTGGATGTAGCGTTCAGCTTGCTGCAAGCAGCACAGAAATGCCCGTGGTCAGCAGGGTCGTTGGGCTGTGGGTTATGCTGCCAGCAAGTGGGAGCAGAGGTGGGAAGGTGGGTTATGCCCCCAGAGCCCCCAGTGAAGATGCAACTGAGCTGACGCTCTGATTCCGGCTTTGTAAGACCCTGATCACGGCTGAACCTCAATTTCTGACTTAAACAATTGTGAGATAATGAATGAATTATTATTATAATTGAGGCAATTTTTGATAATAAAAATAGAAAACAAATATGAGAGGTGAGAGTAAGAAAGCCTAACCCATGCTAATCAGAACTCAATAAGGAGCTAATAGAGGGAATGGGAGGGAAGCAATATGAGGAGATAATGATGCGTATGGGATTGATGAGAGACAACACCCCATGTATTCTAACAGAGTAAGCAATAAAATACATTTAGTGACATCAGAGTTAAACTGCAGAATATCAGACATCGAAGCTTTTCCAGTATAGACAGAAGATTGTTAATTTCTCAGTAGTATTAGGGCTGCCAAAAGAAGATAGTTTAAGGATTTAAAAAAAATTTTTTTTCATTTATTTGAAAGAGAGAGAGAGAGCTCTTCCATTCCCTGGTTCACTTTCCAAATGCTTACAGCAGCTGGAGCTGAGCCAGGCCAGGACCAGGAGCCTGGAACTCTCCAGCGTGAGTAACAGTGTCCAAACTAATTGAGCCATCCCGAGATCTTCCCAAAGTGTGTGGCTGTAACTTGATACGGGATGCCGGCGTCCCAGTGCTAGTGCTTTGCTGTACCACTGCCCCAGAGCTGTGTAACACCTTCAGAGGCTGAGGCAGAGTCATCATTGACCCAGGAGCAAAACGAAGACATTTACACAAGTAAGAACTGTCAGTTTACTAGAAAACCTTCACCACAGGTATTTTTAATAGATTTCAGGGAAGAGGGAAATAATGCAAGAGCAAGCTCTGAGCTCAGTAAAGAATACAGTGAACCTTGGACAGATCTAAACTATAGGAGAGTCTAAACTGTAGAGTACAAAGACATCGTAAAACCGAAATATGGGCCAAAAACAACAAGTAAATTAGGACGGAGGTTTGTGAAACTAACTAGTAGTCTTTGGAGGGCAAAAGGGTATTGAATCACTTTAGATAGATCAGTTAAGTGTGAATAGTATGATTTCTATTACCAAAAAAAAAAAAAGTGTGAAAGCAGCTAAAGTCCTTGTCTTGAATACGCTGGGATCCCATTCGGGCACCAGTTCTAATCCCAGCAGTCCCACTTCCCATCCAGCTCCCTGCTTGTGGCGGGAAAGCAGTCGAGGACGGACCAAGGCTTTGGGACCCTGCACCCACGTGGGAGACCTGGGGAAGTTCCTGGATCCTGGCTTCAGATTGTCGCAGCACCGGCCGGTACAGTCACTTGGGGAGTGAATCATCAGAGGGAAGATCTTCCTCTCTGTCTCTCCTCCTCTCTGTAGATCTGACTTTCCAATAAGAATAAATCTTAAAAAAAAATTGCACTGGGCAAAAATTCATATCAGTCTTGCACAAGTGTTGGCAAAGATTCAGGGAATGGGGGGTGTTTACACAACTGACGACAGGGTGAAGTGTGCAACCACCTTGGCAAATAGTCTGGTAGTTTTTGGTTCAGTCGTGTGTTCTCATATCCAATAGACTCTCCTTCATCTGTGAGCAAGACACGCTTGCATATGGCAGTATTTTCATAACAGTGTTGTTTCAAATAACAAGGATGCTAACCCCAGACAGATACAAATTGGCACCAACACAAGAATGGGTAAATGATGGTGTACTGATACAGTGACTCAGAATTGAAGGTGAATTAGCCAGTTATACACACCAGAATAGGTGACTTTCATGGACATCATGTTCAGTGATAAAAGCAGCCGGAGAAAACTCACTTTGGACTGCTGTTCCATTTATGTAACATTTAAAAACACACAACACTGAAAACTAGGTTGTTTTGGAACTCAAACCAAATGGGGTAAAATTAAAAGAAATAGTGCATTCCGGCTATTTCTTGGGAATGAGGTGGGGTGACTGGGGAGTAAACTTGGGGCTGCTAGGGGACTAGTAATATTCTATATGTTAATCTGGCTGGATCAGTTAGGGTACTGACTAGCTTCGGTGCTGCGGCTCCCACATAATGGTGCTAGGGTCAGGAGTCCTAAGTAGGTGACACAGCTCTGACTGATGGCTCACTGTTTTCTGGGTTATTCTAGACCTTGCCCTTGGGTCAGTGAGAGTGGTGAGGGCAGAAGCTTGTGTATAAATGTGTTGCCTTTGTCACATCCATGCATTTCTCATTGTCCTACTAATTGTGTGGCTGCACTTAGCAGCCAGGGAGGCAGGGAAATATGTCTGACTAGGTGACGGTGCACCTGCTTGATCTGAGGGCTTCTCAGCAAGACAGAAGAGAGGAGACAGCAAAAGGCAGTTCATAGCTCCATCATAAGGAATGTTTATGGTCTTACTATTAAAGTCACACCATCTGTGTTAGGTTGTTCATAACTTTTATACACATCATAATAAAACAATTTTTTAAAAAGATTCATCTATTTTTATTGCAAAGTCAGATATACGGAGAAGAGGAGACACAGAGAGGAAGCTCTTCCATCCCTTGATTCACTCCCCAAGCTACCATGGTTTTGAGCCAATCTGAAGCCAGGAGCCTGGAGCCTCTTCCTGGTCTCCCACATGGGTGCAGGTTCCCAAGGCTTTGGGCCGTCTCCAACCGCTTTCTCAGACCACACGTAGGGTGTTGGATGGGAAGTGGGGCTGCTGGGATACAAACCAGTACCCATATGGGATCCCAGTGTGTGCAAGGTGAGGACTTTAGCCGCTAGGCTACCCTGCTAGGCCCCACATTAAAACAATTTTAAGTAATTAAGGGAAGCAGAATTATGGAATAGTCATGTTAAACAACTTGTGAAATATTTAGAAGAGTTCTTAAAAATTTTTTTTTCCTTTTGATTTAAGTTAGGAACTATCCATAATGAGTCAAGAGAAATTTGTGGATCATTCTTTATCATTATTTGAGAGGCAGAGGCGCAGAGAAAGAGACAAAAAGAACTCCCACCTGCTGGTTCACTCCCCCAAATACCTGCCAAACTTGAGGCTGGGCCAGGCTAACGTTGGGAGCTCAGAACTCTATCCAGGTCGCCTATGTGGGTGACAAGGACCCAGCTGCTTCTGTCTCGTAGGACCCATATTGACAAAGTTGGCATTGGGACCGAGAGCCAGCAATCAAGAGCAGGCACTGAGAGCGGATGCGGGCATCATACCCACAAGGCTGCACTGCTGGGTCCAGTCTGTTGAGATAAAGGGAGCCAGGCTGCAGTGCCGGGAGATAAGAGGAAAAGGAGGAAGAGTTGAGGGAGGCGGGGGAGCCTGGAAGAGCAGATCCCTAGGTGGGAACACCGTGGACTCCGGGCACTGCAAAGATGAGCACCTGAGCAGCTGTCACCCTGTGTGATCTCAAGGACCATCGTGCCAGCTCCCCAAGGTGGGAGGTGTCATCGGTGTATCCGTCCAACTGTCCCTCCTTCCCAACCTCATGCCCAGTGCGGTTCAGGTGGAGTTGGTGTGTAATCAGGAACCCGATAATCATTGCACTTTATGGGCATTTTATCATGTGTCAGTGGAAAAGAAAAAACAGAGGAGGAATCTGATACCTAAAGAGTCTGATTGTTTCATGTCATTTAAAAAGTATTTTGTGTATAATTTGCTAATTTTCTCTTCCAGATTTAAAGGTACAGTTGAGGAACTCAGTAATCAGATTTTGTCTGCACGGAGTTGGTTGCAACAGGAACAAGAACGAATAGAAAAAGAGCTTTTGCAGAAAATTGACCAGCTTTCCTTGGTTGTGAAAGAAACCAGTGTAGGTATTGAGATTTAGTAATAGTTGAGTAATGTTATCCAGTTGAAGCCTCCACTGTTTGACCAATGCCTGGTGACTTACCAATGACCTATTTGGCATCACTTAAACCATTTGGTGGTTTCCTGTGTTAGAATCCTCTCTGACGTTTTATATTCTTTTTAAAGAGATAGAGCATTCTGGTTTGTTTTTGGTTTACAAAGGCCAAGTGGCAAATTCAGTGCTTTCTGTTAAGATGACTTTACATTGTATACCTGCCTATCTCAAAGCTGATAATAACCGGCTTGGTCCCAGTTTCCTCTGGCTTCATGCTGCAGTCTTGCTTCTCACCAGTGTTAACCAGATCTCTCCCCAAGACCCCTCCACTGCAGGATAACCATAGAGGGCGGTGTCACACGGCACCTGCAAGCCCAATCCACCACGTTCTGTCCACTCTGCCTTTTTCCTCCCCCCGCCCCACCCTGCCTGTCTCTCCCAGAGCCTCGGTGTGCAGAACTGCTCAACAGCCGCATAAAGAATGCCTTCCCTATACGGTATGCAAAGTGGCAAGCAGATTTTTACTGGTTTGGGTTAGTTAGCATGACCGTTTCCTTCCCCTTTCTCTTTTCCTGCACTGCTTCTTCCTGTGGGACTTTAACCTTTCTTTCTTTATTTATTTTGCATTTCTGACTGTTCTCTCCAGGTGCAAAGCTGCTGAATTGTAGAACTGGCGTTGATAGCTGTCAGGAGACTCCAAAGCTTGCCTGTTGACGCAGATCTCATGCAAACCAGCCATGGGAGAGAACATGTTTAATGTTCCCGCTGTTTTCTTTTAGTATTTTCCCATATTTTCATCATACTTACTGACTGATCGACTTTGATTCATGTTAATTCACTTGCAGGCTTTGGGGTCTCTGTGTCCACTCTATTTGTACATGTAGATGGGCTTAGTAGTTAATAGCAAGCCCTAGGATAGTGGTGGGTTTAAGAAGACAAGTTTCACATGGAGGAAGGCAGAGGGTAGGTAATGCAGAACTAATGTGATGTCTTTTCAGGCCTCAATGACCTGGGATGCTTTTTGTTTGACTTTTTTTTTTTTGCCAATCTAAAGAGGTACCCTCAACTTCCTCATTTAAGGTAGCTGCTAGAGCACCAGCCACTGGGTCTAAATTTTAGGACCTAAAGGCAAAATAGGAAGGAGAAAGCATATTTCTCATCTGTCTCTTGGCTTTTGTTTAAAGCTGCCACAAGTTCACCCTCACATCTCATTGGCAAGAATTTAGTCACTCGGCCACATCAGACTCTGGAGACGGTGGCAAAGTGTCCTTTATTCTGGGTGACTTCAGACTAAGCGGAGAGCTGGAGCTGTGTGAGAGAAGAAAGGAAGAGGGGGCGTGGGGATGGGCCATGGCAGCTGCCGTGTGATTGCGCTCCCTGTAGGTTGTGGCTCGGTGATGTCAGAGCTCAGACACACGCAACACGTGTTCTCTTTGAAGTAACCTGGTGCAATTCTCTTCCTGGATCCCAGGGAGCCAGCGAGAAGGACATGGAGAAGAAGCTCAGCCAGATGTCAGCCAGGCTAGACAGAATAGAAGAGAGCCAGAAGAAGACTCTGGATGGGCAGAGAACAAAGCAGGAAGAGGAGAAGGTGCATGGGCGAATCAACAAGCTGGAGATGCAGATGAGTGAGGACATGAAGGAAATGAAGGCGGAAGTTCATGCTGGTAGGCTCCAAACAAAACACTCATGTGGCATCTTTTCTATTTGGTTCCTGGACCTATTAATTGCTATCTCCCCACTACTTCCTACAAACCTGGCTAATGGTAGTAACAGGGAAATCTCCTTAGTTGGTTTTCGAAGTAGCTGTGCTCTAGTGAATCCACTTTCTTTTTTTTAAATTTAGGTACGTTGAAGAGCCACCTAGAGGGACGGGGAAACAAACTAAGATTTCTTAACTTGCATTTGCTGCACATTTTCCTTAGTGCCAATCTTTTTAAAATTTTTAATAATTTTTAAAATCATTTGAGGGACTGACATGGTGGCATACAGGCTAATCCTCTACCTGTGGTGCTGGCATCCCCCATGGGCGCTGTTTCTAGTCCTGGCTGTTCCACTTCAGATCCAGCTCCCTGTTTATGGCCTGGGAAAGCAGTATAGGATAGCCTAAGGCTTGGGCCCTTGAACCCACATGGGAGGCCTGGAAGAAGCTACTGGCTCCTGGCTTCGGATTGGCTGAGCTCCAACCATTGTGGCCATTTGGGGGAGTGAACCAGGATATGGAAGCTCTCTCTTTCTCTGTCTCTTCCTCTCATCCTCTCGACAACTCTTTCAAGTAAAACAATAAATATTTTAAAAGCATATTTGAAAGGTAAAGAGGCATACAGAGAGTGTCAGAAAGATATACTGAGAGGGTTCTGATCAGATACACACGGAGACTAGGACTGGGCTGGGTCTTCCAGCAATATCTTATGTACTTGAGCTATGGCCACCTTCCCCCGGGGCCCATGATAGCCTGGAGCTTGATCAAGAGCTGGGAACTGAACATGGGTACTGCCGAGTGCAACATGGGAATCTAAACCACTAGGCCAGACCCCTGCTGTGTGGCAGAGCAGGTCAGGGCCCATGCCACGCTGTTTCACGGGCACACGTAGTCTCTGAGGGGCTTTTAGAGGAGTTACATGATCCTGTTTGGGTGCCATCCTGGCAATGAATGATTTCCATCTACTTGGACTTCAGCAGGGTCATTCATTTACTCACTCAGAGGAGCATAGGAGAGCTGACCTCCAGTTCTGAATTGCCGGGGTGAAAGAAGGGATTGTATTTAGGCTCCAAGAGCAGGAACGCAGAGCTGACACCAAGAAGGGGAAGTTACCCACAGACAGATGGAGCTTGCTGCGGGGCCAGCGTGTCTGTCTGCCAATGGGTTCTGAACCACACTGGTGTGTGCGTGAGCTTGGGAGCTCTTTGGACCTGGAGTCGGCAAGTGCAGGCTGGCTGAGTGACATCAGGAAGACCAGCGTGTCATGTGAGAAGAGGGACTGCGTTATCTGCCAGCTCCTCCTTATCCTGGGACTCCATGAGTTTCCCTTTGTGGAGCTGTTCTATTTTGGCCACATGGAAAGAAAAGTAGCTATTTAAATCTCAAGAATAATTTTTTTGTTACTACTGAAAGTTGATTTTTTTTTTAAAAAAAAAGTAGGAACTGTAATTAAACTTAAGAATTGGGGAACTTACAAAAATGAATTTTCCTTCTGGTGTTTTGTGGGGTTATCAAATATGACATTTGACTACTTCAGTGATGCTTGTAACATTTCCTATGTAAATTTCTCATTAGTGATTCAACATACCACTGAAATGGTTAATATTTAATTTCTAATAAGACATGTAAATTTATTTTGTAAAATTAAAAGTGACTTTTATTGTGGCCGGTGCCACGGCATAGTAGATTAAGTTTCTGCGTCTGGTTCTGGCATCTCATATAGACGCCAGTTCATGTCCCAGTTGTTCTACCTCAATTCAGCTCCCTGGCTGTGGCCTGGAAAAGCAGCAGAGGATGGCCCAAGTTTGGGGGCTCCTGCACCCACGTGGGAAACATGGCCATTGTGGCCATTGGGGAGCAAACCCGCTGAGGGAGGATCTCTCTCTTCTCTAACTCTGCCTTCAAATGAAAATAAAACTCATTTTTACAAATGTGTCTTTTAATACAACGAAAATACATTTCCCAGTGAATTATCAATTACAAAAAGTTTAAAGTAAATGTTCGGAAATTTACTTTTCAAAGTAAAATTTTTCTTCTCTTTCCCAGAGGTCATTGTATATTTGTTTCTATACAAACAGGACATTTATGTACTTTTTCAAGGGAAAGCACATGCCATATGTGCTGACTTATGACCTGTTAATTTTTAATAATAATAATATGTGCTATCTTTTCACATTGGCAAAACATTTTTTTTCAGAGTTTGTTTGATTTGAAAGGGAGAGAGAGACAGAAACCTGTTATGTGCTGATTCACTCCTTGCGTGTCTGCAGTAGCCAGGGCAGAGGCCAGTCAAGAACAGAATTCCAGAACTCAGTGCAGGTCTCCCCTCTGAGTGGTTGGGACTCAAGCACCTGTCACCTGCTGCCTCCCAGGATGCTCCGGTATGGGAGCAGGGCAGGACTCCAAGCCAGATGTCCCGGTATGGGATGCGAGTGTCCCAAGTGGCTTCGTCAGTGCTGTGCTGCATGGCTGTCCCAAAAACATTATTTTTAATGAATCATTTTATACCATTTTTTTTTGAAGAATGGTTCCATAATGGAAATATTCTGAGAGGAAAAACTCTAAAATTTAGTAATGAAGATGAGACTATTTTTAGAAACCAGGAAACTTTTTTAAATTTAGAGAAGTGGTAGGAATGGTCCAAAAATTCATGATTTATTTTAGTTCATGAAATTTTAATAATTCGTGCAGTCATTGGCATTTTGGAAATATGGCTAAATAGCTTCCCATTCTCCCTATCATGGACCTTGGTAACATCCATTTTATTTTCTATCTCTATATATTCAACTTTTTTAAAAATTCCACAAATGAGATCGCGGAGTTTTTCTTTCCATGTCTGGCTTATTCCAGTTAGCACAGTGTGTTGTGGATTTATCCTGGCTGTGGTCAAGTGACAGGATCTTCTTCCATCAGGCTGAACATCTTGTGTGCTGCAGAATGGGTCTGTAGTTGGGCTTCTTGGTAGCTGTCTCTGTGTTGGTGACGTCATTCCTGCAGTGATGCCCATGGCCTGGCTCCATGCTTGGCCCCTGTGAATAATGTTCTAGTGAACGTGGCAGTGCAGATAACGGTTCTAGGACACGGGTGATTCCAACATCAGCTGGGTGTAGACCTTAGCAGCGGGCTGGCTGGATGACGGGGTAGTTCTGGTTTGGATGTCCTTAGGATCCTCCCTGCTGGTTTGCAGTGGGTCTTCCTTTCCACAGCTCTGCCTGAAGTGTGCTGGGGCTTCCTGTTCTTCACATCCCACCAGCCATCCTGACAGGTGGGGTCTGGGGTCAGAGCTCACGGCCCACGTGACTTGCCTTGCCTCTAGGATCAAAGATACAGAGCACTTTTCCGAGTGCTTCGGGCTGTAATCCCGAATCAGACAGCGTCTTTAGTTATCATGTTTCCCTATGTAATATTTCATTGTGTATTAAATGCCAAGTTTTAGTGACCCTGCCTTTTTTTTTAAAAAAAGATTTATTTATTGACTTATTTGAAAGGCAGATTTGGGTAGGGAAAGAAAGAGAGAGAGGAATCTTCCAGTTCCTGGCTCACTCCCTGAAGAGCCACACTGGCCAAGGCTGAAGCTAGAGTCTGGAACTCCATCTGGGTCTCCAGTGTGGCCGACGGGGCCCAGACACTTGGGCCATCTTCACCTGCTTTCCCAGGGGCATTAGCAAGAAGCTGGATTAGAAGTGGGGCATCCAGCTCTTGAACTGGCAGCTGTACGGGATGCTGGCACTGTAGATTGCAGCTTAACTTGCTATGCTGAAACACTGGTCAGACCTTGACCTTTTTGTAGATTAGTTTGGTTGTTTTGGACATAATCCAGGTTGCACACTTTGGGTAGAAGTGCCATAGAACAGATGACCCGTCCTTCTAGGGGGTCTTTATCAGCAGGTGCATGCTGTTGCCTTCCCCCGTTAGCTATGGTTAGTGTGGCATCTGCCAGGTTCCATCATTGCAATAGTTCCCCTCACTCCCTTGTCAGTAGAATCCTGTGGAATTACTGAACTCTGTCATTTCCCATCACACTTTTTAGCATCTGTTGATCATTTGTGCCAACATTGACTTGAAGCTATGGAATCTCCTATGGCATTTTTTTTTTTTAATTAACACTTGTGAAATTTGCCTCTCCCTAAAGGGTTTACAGCCATCTATGAAAGCATAGGATCCCTCAGGCAAGTTCTCGAGACCAAGATGAAGCTGGACAAGGACCAGCTCCAGAAGCAAATCCAGCAGATGCAGAAGCCGGAAGCTCCCGTGTGAAGGAGCAGGGACAAGGACCTGGGGGCGGGGCGGGGGGGGGGGATGTCTGCCAGCGGGGCTAGGAGCAAGAGACCTCTGTGGCCAGGCCGTTGCTACATTCAGCACTGTTCACCCAGGGCGTGCATGCGCCAAGAAACGTGTTTTCATGGGTCTAAATGTTTCCTTCCCCGCCAACCCCGGTCTTGAAACGAATCTCTCTTGAAACGTTAAATACATGGTCTGCCACTTTATCCCACCTCTCTAAATGCAGTGCCACCCTCTTCCCCCAGGTGAAAAACAAAAAGGCTTTTGTCTCCTTCGTTTTATGAATGAAAAGACTTCACCGTTTTTCTCTGATGCTCCACATTCTAGCCAAGACCAGTTGCTGTTGTTTTTTTTTTTAATGTCCTGATGATGCTTTTTTTTTTTAATTAAGAAACGAATAAGTGGTCACAGGTGTGTGTCACTCCTCACCCTAAATGAAGAGAACGTGCCAAGGGAGTCCAATTCAACTTGGAGTCCGTGTTTCGGTTTCACTCTTGTATGTGCGTGTCTTATATTGATTATCTTTCTGTATCTCTTTTTTGTCTTTTGTAAGGGGAAGAGATTTAACTCTTGGGGAAGAAACTCTATCATTTATATAATGAAAATAGTTTAAAATTGATAATTGCCATAATACTTGCAAATTCAACAGAAACTTAAGACGCTTAGATAAAGCAAGGCACAACATCGGACCACAGATCAGGTTTTAATATTTAAAACTATTTTTGAATTATCCACAGCCTATATAGTGATAGCCATACAATTAGTGATGAATTGCACAATTTCTTATTCATCAATCAGAATGTACGAATTTTTTGGCTTGAAGGTCTTTCTAAATGTTTCCCAAATTGGCACCAAGTGCTAGGTTTCTATCCACCTGTTAGAACTGTACCCTTGTGCCTTGGTTTTGTCATGTCAGTGCACTGCACCCTACAAGAGCTTTGCAGACAAAATAAGCAGCATGATAATGCATCAGAACTATGATGTAAAAATGGGATCCTATGTATTTTTTTAAATGTTCTTCAGATTTTATCACTGTTAAGACATGTTCGGTATTAATGGAATAGAAATTCCTACTTTTGTATGGGATTAAGACTCAAATTGATACTGCATTTATAACACTGTCAACAGATTTTCATCTTGCACCACTTTGTAGATAACGGGTGTTTTATTTTCAGTCTCTATATCTGCTTAGTCTTGAAAATTGGCGACAGAGCTGCGTGTTCATCTGTGTGTGTAATAACCCATAGCAAGGTGCACTGTGTTAAATTGAGAGGTTACCCTAGGACAAAGAATAGGAATATTTAAAAATTTCAAAAGACTTTTTAAAAAAATTTGCTTGTTTGCCAAGGACTCAGGAAAAAAAAAACATTTTCTATTTTTAGGATAAATCATAAATAGAATATAGAACTGGCAATTACTGTTTACCCATACAAAATATGCTGCTGAAGTGCACAATATTTTACCATCCATCGCTTGATAAATAAGAAAAATTTTGTTTTTTAAATTGGGACATGCAAGGTTATGTAAGGAATATGGCATCCAACATGTTTTCCTTATTTCATTCCAGAGCTTTTCATCTCCATATAGTGAGGCTACTTAGATTAAACAAACAGACAAACAGAAGCTGAGGCTGTTTGGCTGTCTGAAAGTGAATTGCTTTTTGTGGTAGCGTGAACCACGTGTCTTGTAGTTCTCCCCGTGTATGCACAGGCTCAGCGCAGTGGGCCACGCCCCTCCGGCGTCTTGCTCTGAGGTCTCCGAGGCGGAAGGATCAGCACACCCGGGCAGAGGCACACAGGCGACAGGGCCTGATGCAAAGCAGGGGATGCTTGGCTGTGGGCTGGGTTTCTCAGGTGCTTCTGACCTTACCAGGCCCCTGCCGTGAGCTACCGTGAGCTACCACCAGAGGGCTCCACTTGGCTACTTGTTGGATTTGCCTGGGGCAATTAGATGCTGAGCTGTGGTGGGACCTGTGGAATCAGGGTCTCGCAGAAGGTCGGGGGAGGCCCGCCCAGGTGACCCCATGAGCAGCTCAGATGGGGACCCGCCACGCTCCAGAAATCTCACCAAAGCTTAAATGAGAATCCGCTTCCCTGTTTTTTCCTTTCCCAGAAATTTGCAATAAAAAGAATAAAATTTCCAAACCAATGTGGTGTATGATTTTTAAGTGGAAACTTAATGAGATCAAAGGCAGTAGGAAAGGCTTCCCTTGGCCTCTGCGTAAACCCGCTGGCGGTTGTGATAGAAAGCGCTGGTGTCCCTGTGGGCGCTCTGGTGTCTGGGGTTTCCCTGGGAGCTGCCCCGCCGTTGATCTCGGGGGTGGCAGGGCTGTCTGCAATGTGCCAGCTGAACATGTCTAGCCATGTGTTGTGTGCCTGTTCCCCGTGGTTGTGAACTCCTGTCATTTTAAAAGTGACTTGTTCAGTCCTGTTCACTTCCCTGTTTTGCAGATAGGAAAACAGAATCCTAAAGGTTAAGCTGTTGATGACCTAGAGGTTAAGCAGTTTGCCCCTGTGTCTACAGCACATAAATTGGAGTTACGATTCAAACCGGGCAGCCTACAGTCCACAGTCTCGGGGTCCCCCTGAGCACTACACTATGACTCAACGCCCTTCCCCTCCTCATGTAACTGACCAGCTAGGCCAGCAGCCCAAGCCCTGTCTCCGCAGAACCCAGCTTATATTTCTGCTGTCTGCTTCCTTTTGCCTTATTTTTTTTTTAAGATTTGTTTTATTTATTTGAAAGGTAGTATGTCAGAGAGAAGTATCTTCCATCTGTTGGATCATCCCCAAATGTCTAGAGCAGGTGGGGCTAGGTCGGGCCAGAGCCAGGGACTCTGCTGGATCTGCCACTTGGGGGACAGAATCCCAAGCATTTGTGTCATCTGCTGCTGCTTTCCCAGGCGTATCAGCAGGGAGCTGCGAATGAAACAGAACAGCCAGGACTTACACTGGCCCTGTGGTCCTGGGATGCTGGCATCACATAAGTGGTTTAATTTGCTGTGCCACTATGCCAGTCCCTTCCTTTTTTTTTTTTTAATATTTTAATTCTTTGGGAGGCAGAGTTAGAGAGAGGAGGAGGAGAAAGAAACTGAGGGAGGAGAGAGAGCTTTCATCTGTTGGTTCGCTCTCCAACAGCCAGAGCTGGGTCAGGCTGAAACCAGGAGCTTCATCTGGGTCTCCCATGGGGGTGGAGGGGCCTAAACATTTGAGCCCTCTTCCTCTGCTTTCCCAGGCACATCAGCAGGGAGCGTGATCAGCAGTGGAGCAGCAGAGACTTGAGCCAGTGTCCCTAGGGGGCGCCTGTAGCACAGGTAGCAGCTTAATCCACTATGCCACAGTGCCGGCCCCTACTTTTTGTCTTGTAATATCCCAGGTCTCAGTACCTAAAGGGACAGTCTTCCTGGCTTCACCCGGGTCACATGACTTCCTTTGGTTATATCCTTGGAGGCGGAAGAGGTCCGTCGATGTCACGGGATTGTAGGGTCACATGACCACCTGCCCTCAGTGCTTGCGCTGCCCGAGGTTTGGGCCGTGGCTCGGTCCTCTGAGAGACGAGTTGTGTTGGGTAGGTAGAGAGCACGGCGGAAAAGCTGGCTCCACCCAAACTGTGACCATCCTCTAGGCGTGCAGGCTGAAAGCAAACAGGGAGAATGGGGCAGCACCCGCCACGCCCCGGAAACCCGGTGAGAACTGCGATGTTCCCGATCCTGCCCTCCTCGGTATGACTTTCGCGTGACTCCTGGCTTTTCTCAGCTGCAATTTATATTCTGAAAGATTTCTTTTGCTCATTTAAAAGACTGGATTAAAGCAGGAGAGATCTTTTATTCACGAGTTCACTCTTTAGATGGCTGCAATGGGCTGGGCTGAGCTAGGGACTCGGAATTCTGTCTGTCTGTCCCACTTGGGAGCAGGGACCTGTGTGTTTGAGCCACCTTCCACTGCTCTTCCAGGTGCTTTCGCAGGAGCTGCATTAAAGTCTAGCCAGTGTCTATATGGGATGCCCACATCGGTAACAGCAGCCTAACTTGTACTACGCGTCACCATCCCCCTGTCATCATCATTGAAAAGGGATGTGGAGGGGAGATACGGGTGATGTGCCCCAGGATGTGTGTAACAGCTATCTATATTCGAGTCCACAGCGGTCCACTGTCGGCTGGGGCCACATGGGAGAAGTGGCTCTAACATCCAAAGGAAGTGCTAGTCCAGCCTGAGCCACAGGAGGGCAGTAGAGCCTAGTTGGATAGAAACGAGACCAGACCGGGGACCATCCTGGAACACCAGGATGCCACGCTGGCTGGTTAGAACTGGTGCAGGCAGGGGCATCCCCAGGCCAGGGCCGGGAGGGGGCAGGGTCTCCTGGAAGGGCCTTCCCTGAGAGGTTAGGCAGGTGGGATCAGAGGTAGCGGAAACGACAGCTCCAGGTCAGAAGGGGGCAAGGCTGATGTGGTACCGGGGGGTGTACAACTCCAAGTGGAGAAATGACAGCCACAGCAGATAGTGCCATGGCCTACGTGGCCAGCTGGCCTCTGAGACAAACTGGGAGCTCCCGTGGAGGCCAAGTGCACTGATTCAAGAGTGTGCCTTGTGTGCCCCTGACCATCACCTCCAAAATGAGGAAGAAATGCAGCTGACTAGAGCCTCACGGGATGGTGGCATTAAAAAAAATAAGAAGAAAACTCACTCCTTTAAAACTGTCCTTCAGTTACTCTGATTTTATGTGACAAGAGATGCCTTCCACCTGCTGGTCCACTCTCTAAATGCCCACATATGCCAGGGCTGAGCCAGGCCTGCGCGAGGAGGCTGGGATTCAGCGTGGTCTCTCCTAGGTGGGTGGCACTGATGCCAGCCACGTGAGCCATCCTCTGCTGCCTCCCAGGGTGCACGTTAGCGGGAAGCCAGCACTGGACCCCAGGCATTCTGAAGTGGCATGCGTCAGTCCTAGGTGGCATCTCAATCACGGTGGCCACCTCCCACCCCTGAGCAGGCGCTGAACATGTATCCTAGTTGGCACTTCTCATTCTGTTTTCTTATGGTCCCACTGATCTCAGAAATTCCATTTTGTGTCCTACAGGAACCCTAGAGGTCAAGGACCTTTCCAGGCATCCAGATTCGCCTGTTAAAATTCTAGCTGGATCTCTACAGGGTCAGTTGCTGGAGTTACTCCCAGTTGTCCCTTCCTGCAGGCAGCTGTCCCCTCGTGGGGTCTGTGGGTCTGTGCTGGACTTGGTTCTCATGGAGAGAACAGCAGAAGTGATGATTCTTTGCTTCTGAAATGAGATTATAAAAAGACCGTGGCTTCCTTTTCGCTCTCTTTCTCATCACGTTCACGGGTGAAAGCCAGCGGCCCATGCTGTAAGCCACCTGCGGAGAAGCCACTGGTGTGGTTCAACTCGGAGACCCTCCACACGGTCGCTCCAAAGGAACTGACCCTGTCCATTCATCCCATGGGCATGAGCTTAGAAGTGGCTCCTCCTGCCCAAATGAAGTGTAAGCAGGGACTCTGGCAGACCTGTGTACACACGTGTTCTTGGCAGCATGATGCCCACTAGCTTGAAATCCATTAACGGATGAATGGGGGCAACATGCAGCACGCACATGTAATGAACTATGATCCAGCCTTGGAAAGGAAGGCAGTTCTGGTGCCTGCTGCCACTCAGATAGACCTTGAAGACATCATCGGGGTAAAATAGGCCAGCGATAAAGGGGCAAATACTGCGTGACTCTTTACCTGAGATGCCCAAAACAGATGTATAGAAACAATCACTTGGTTTCTAGGGGCTGGGGAGTAGCAGGTGGGGAGTGAGTGCCTCCTGGAAACAGGAAAGGTGTGAAAGCTGTGGAGGCTGGAGGTGCTGGTGGCCCAACTCAACACATGGGAGGCCATGAGCTGTACGCACTTAAAAATGGTGATAATGGAAGATTTGTCTGACCTCCACTCCCCACCCGTGACACACCCACGAGGGGTGAGAAAAGGAAATCCCTCCACCCGCACCCCAGTCCCGAGCTGAGCCTTCTGGTGAGGCTGCGGCTCCAGAAGCCTGACTGGTACCTCCTGACGGCCTCACCCTTGTTCCAATCTCTGACTCACAGATAGCAACAAATGCTTGTTTGCTTTAACTGAGTCTCCTGTAGAGTAATCCATGATATGAGACGATAGATATTAGGACTGGGAACCCCAGAAGATTATGTAGTAAAAGGTCATTTTGGGGTGTGCCCTAGGTTACACAAGCAGGAAATGGCTGTGAGGAAACACACTATACAGCGGCGTGTCACAGCTGGCATTTCCAAGGCTTCTAATCTGCTATGCACTGCTTTTCCACTGTATGCACAGAGAGAAGTTCATGACTAGTCA